TTCTCATTATCATTGAAACTCCATGAGGTGAGATCTTGCATGGAGCTCCAGACCGAGGGAGATTGGCAGTTAATTTATGTTTCTTCCATTTGCGAATAATCGCGCCAACTGTTGTCAGCTTCTCACCCAGCTGCTTGGCGATGGTCTTGTAGCCCATTCCAGCCTTGTGTAGGTCCACAATCTTGTCCCTGACATCCTTGGAAAGCTCTTTGGTCTTGGCCATGGTGAAGAGTTTGGAATCTGGATTGATTGATTGACTGCTTCTGTGGACAGGTCTCTTTTATACAGGTAACGAGCTGAGAGGGCTCCCAATGTCAGCTCGTTACCTGTAGAAAATACACCTGGGAGCCAGAGATCTTGCTGACTGATAGGGGATCAAATATTTATTTCATTCATGAAAATGCAAATTACTTTATAACTTTTTTTGTAATGCTTTTTCTGGATTTTTTTGTTATTGTTGTGTCTCTCACTGTTCAAATAAACCTACCATTGAAATTGTAGACTGATCATTTCTTTGTTAGTGGGCAAACTTACAAAATCAGATGGGGTTCAAATAATTTTTTCCCTGACTGTAGATAAATAGATAAGCACTGCACACTAGTCCTTTATTCTCAGCAGGCTTCTCCTCTTTCAACCACATGCATTTTACTTGCAACATTTAATATCAAACATGAAATTTGTTTCTCAATGTCATTATTTTTAACTTACTGCTAAGTGACAGTAACACAGAAAATGTATCTTGTTTCCATTTACTGCAGACTGTGTATTTCCAGATAAAACCATACGGTATCTAAGTATTTCCATGCCATCTATGGTGATTAACCTAAGCCTTAACTTTAGCCTTAACCTTAGCCTTAGCCTTAACACGCTATATCACGGTGACACGCAGCTTACCGGCGAGCGGCGCAGAGTTTCCTCTACAATAAACTGTTTTCTCTAACGCGTAGACGCCCCGGTTCACATATTGGTACAAATAAAGTCCCCTTTCTGCTTTTCGTTATTGCCTTTCAGCGGTTTCTTACCAGTGACTTTCCGATTAGCCCACCGGCACTGCAACCTTTGACCTCAGGGCTACACAAAATGATTATTACAACAGCGCCACCCATCGGTGGAGGACCGGACATGACGCAAAATATTGTGGATTAAAAAAAGAGCGCTACTGAGTAGCTCCATATTTTGTATGCATCAACAGTAGCTGCATATGATTCTATCCATAGTTACAGATGGCTACACAACCGTACACACGTGTACATATATCATATAGTACTACATTTGAGAATGTGCCAGAACTAAGCCGTTTATTTGCAAATGAAAAATGCTGCACAAGCTGTGACAGCAACCTGAATGTCACACTCTGATCACCACTTTTTTGATCAAGTTAACACAATAACAGACCATCTTTATCAGATTTCCTAACACATTGTTAAAACACACATGATGCTACACAATGCTTGTTCAAAGCATAATGTGAATACTACAACATATTCAACATTATCCTGTATCAATTACACATCATCTGCCATCTCTTAACACTAAGATTCTTTTCAAAATGTAAAAACAATTAACTCCACACATCAAAATAAAACAAATTACATGTCATTATTACTTACTAATGGCAATTTGTGTGGACTCAAATAGTGTTGGTCATTCTTCTGTACTATTTAGGAAGCCACCAGGACACAGGCTGCCATTGTTATTGTGCCGTTTGTAGAAACAAATCATACAGTAAACTCATTTGGTGTATGGAATAAAACTCGGTAAAGGCCTGGTGGTACTGCTCCTGTCGCCCAGTAGAGGGCAGTGTAGCAAAGGTGTTCAACTTCACTGTTCATGAAGATAAAAGTCACACTAGTTGAAACTAAATGGCTGCTGCAGTGATGCTGCCTTTTCCCATCAATAACATATTCAGTGTACTTAATATACACACAATAGTAATACATAAAATACATACAATCGTGGTAGTTTTAGTTTGTATTATTACTGATGCATTCTTTGTAGATGTTTGAGCAGCTGCTGACAGCCAACATTACACTGGTGCTTTTTAGCAAATCAATTCATGGGACCAGAAAATGATCAGTGAAAAGTCAACATACAAGCCCCCTATTGGCACCTCAAGATGCCACAATACAACTACATAATCCTAAATGATGTGTCCTATTAACTGTTCCTTTAGTGAGGACATCACATGTAGTGGTGCGGTGATTACATTCATTATCTTCAGCTGCCCTGGACCTGCAGAGCCGCTCTTTTACAGCTCTGTCTTACTGGGTCTGTGGACAACCTGGTTGTAGTCATTCCTTCTTTTGGGTTTGTAGGTGAGGAGTTGACTAAACTCGATCAGGAGTCGCTCCCAGTAGCAGGAAACATCTTGCATTCGCAGGTGGCTCAGGATGAATTCTTTCCCCCTGTTAGGAGGGAGAGAGTAAGAAAGTCTGACACTGGGGTTTAGTCTCTCTTGAGTACCTATATACTGCAAATATATTGCAGGGAGAAGCACACATCAAAAATCAGCAATAAAACACGATCATTTACCTTGTGGCAATTTCTTGTGCAATGACGTCATTCTCTCTGACAAACTGCAGAAGTTCCCTGAGGACACAGAACATGGGAAGACTTATTAACACACCTGCACTGTACTTGTATTGACTTGCCAAGACAATCGCTGCAGTACCTGACATCAGAGAGATCCTGTTGGACTGGGATATAGTGGACCCAGGGCTTGAGCTGAGGGTAAAAAAACTCCTGCCATTCATCCCCCACATGAAACACAAGGGAACCACAGAGAAAGAGATGTTTGAAGCGGAAGCTGGCAGTCACGCCCCGGAAGTTGAATAAATACCTGGAGGAGATCAAGAGGATAGTCAGATGGTATTTTTCAAAAATCACAGTGGTATATTATATTGAAATGTCTCATACTGTAGATTCCTTTTAAAATTAAGTTAGTTAGAGGGGTGAACACCCAGAAATGACTAACATCACACTACACTACTCAAATATGTCACAAAATGCTTGGACAAGCAGGCAGAGCTGACAGAGAACACCACACTGTAGCAAGCAAGGATGCTACTGCCTAACAAGATGAATGTATTTCAAAATAGTTTCATTTTAAACATAGCAGAGAGTTCGGCTTACTTGTATTTGCAGTGATCGACCAATGGGATTTCTTTAGCCGCTGGTCTCCCTAGGGTATCCTGTGATAAAAGACCCACCTGATTTTAGTTTTAAATTAATGTAAGGATTCAATACTGGGAAAACAACCGCACAGATAATGGAATATCTTACAGATCTGTAATACTTATGAAGATTTTGGAGCTTCTTTTTTTTGTAGTGTGCTTTCAGAATGACTAACCCTCTCAGACTTCCAGGCCTGGTTCTTTGTGTACTCTGCATCCACCAGCTCTGGAGCTTCTCTGGACAGAAGGATCAGAGGGTCACGCTCTGGACTGGTTCTGGTTCAAAGAGACAGAGAAGACAATGAAAAAAAATGCAGTTTGCAGGGGGAAGACAGATAACGATGGAACAGGAAGATGCTCCGCTGAAGGCACAGAGATGCACAAATGGACAACTTTGGTAACAGAATAGCTGAATAAAGAATAAACACCAAAAAATATTGTTTGGATTGTAGAATGTCATGTCATTACACAAAACAGCACTGTCAAAACTGACCTGGAGCCTCTAAAGAATCCTTTGGACTCTTTTTTCTTCCATGGCCACTGTGCTGCAGACCTAACACAGCATATTACATGGATAAGAAATCATATACTCCACAAGTTAGGACTAAAAATTCTGAAGTACTCCATTCATCCATTTAATTTGTTAATGCTCAATTAATGAGTTCTGGTACCCAAGGGAAAAAAATATTACTCAAAATCACAAGCTACCAGTGCCTAAAGCTACTTCTTCAAATGATTTAAGCAAATAAATGTATTTTAATAAGGATGTGAAACAGAGGAAAACAGGTAAATCAGCACATCTGATATTTACTTAATAAATGATCAAAGCTGGTTCAGTACTTTGTTTTAAAATGCTAAACCTTACTTTTTAAGGTCATCTATCATCAGATCCCATCTTCCCAATCCAGTAGGATATATAGGCCACACGGCAGGCCCGCCCTCCCAAAATGTCCAAGCAGGGTACATGATGTCCCAGTAGTCTGAGGTCTTCTCAAATCAAACACACATCAAATTCAGCTGTTACATTTAAGAAACATCAGCAGATTTTAAGTGTACACAAAATACTGCCCATAGTCTGACCTTGCTGAAAGAAAAAACCGGCAGGGTTGGCTGCATCCAGCTGGGAACTTGAGGGTAATCCCTGACATTTACCACCATCTCCAAGTCAGGTAACTTGTTGATCACCTCTAGAATGAAATGCTCCACCCCGCTGCACCTGCAAACAGGAAACCGATTTAAGATGAACAAACACACAGCTGAAGGTACATATTCCGATTCATGTCAGGTACTTTTCCTCCTTACCTGGCAGGGAACATACAATTGTGTTCCCTGTACAACTTATTTCCAATGATCTGATAGTGGGTGCCCACCCCTCTTTGAACTGTAGCAGCCATGACATCCTCAGAGATTCCCCCTTTAAAAGGGTGCAAGTCATGTAGGAGGACACTGACACAGAAATCAAGAGAAAAATAATCAGGTCCATACTGTTTATTTAAGACTTTAAAAATGTAATTTTGCACATGGTAATGCAACAAGTTATATTTGTTTATCTGGACAAAAATCTTCAGTCAAATCTTCAAAGGTGTTAAATCAAACATTTTTTATTTCTTCACTGTTCTGTAGTTCCTGTGTGAGGTGAGAAAAAGCATCCCACCCACCTTAGATGGCAGCTACAGTTGACAGGGTTGCATGGATTATACCCTTTAACAGCATCAGAAATCTTTTCTCTAATTTTCTCCCACTGTTTTCCTGCAACAACACATAACAATGGGAAACCGTGTCGGAGGGAATTTTCATACTGGATCAGAAACTAGCTAAATTCCAAAAGTGAATGAATGAATGAATTTTACAGGTCCCAACTTTTATTCAAACTGTTTCTCACAGCATACAATCACTGGAAATTATTGCAGAATAAAATGACCTTACACTTTTTTGATGAATGATGGCGATGGAGGAAGGAAATGACTCGTTTATCACTGTCACAGTATCCAACCAGTAAAGTTACACTGCTAAGTACTAATTAACAGCTAGCAGATCTCTTTGCTAAACTCCGCCCGTGCCCAACAATAATAAAGATCTTAATAAATACACATTTTATTTCACATTAATACTTTTAACCCTGATTTAAGCAAACCTAAAATTATAAAACACCTTAGTTAGGTTAGCTCAAAGGCTAGTTAGCTAACTAAGCTCGTGAAGTGATGAATGATTCCAACACCAAAAGTTATAACCAAAGCAGCGCAAAGAAACAAAACACAAAAACTCTCACTATTACGTTTAAAATGATTTCAAAGGTCGTATGTGTTTAATATGTCTTACCGGATGCACCACTCAAACATAAATGACTAACTAGAAGCAGTATTAAAACCCTCCACAGCCAAAAGCGCTCCATTTTTCTATCTGTCCTCCAGCTTTGTCTGAAGAGAAGAAACAAAGTCGCATTCTGTGATCTGCTATTTCTGGCTGAATGTGGTCATTACGGTAATGCGCAAAGCAAAATTGATCTACAGGTTACGCTACCGTAACGTTTAGGTGATTAGTCCAAAGTGGTATTCAAGAGATAAATGTACCAACATTTCTTCATCCATATTCACAAAATATATCAATTAATTCTTCTTTGGTTTCATAACATGAGATAACATTCTAATGCATATGTGTTCATTTCAAGGGCATAACTGGCAACCTCATGAATGGTTGTCCTTTAAATATACCCGAAATATGAATTTCTCAGTCAGGGCAAGAAAAAGGAGGAGAAAAGAGACCCTCCTGAGATTTGGGCAGTAACACTACAGTCATGGAAAAAAGGAGGGCACAGAAGACAGGTGGAGAGGGAGATATATCAAACAAGAATAGACAGAAACAGAGTGAGAGTAAATAATGACAAAATATTAGAGAGAATTGTTCATATTTTCTGGGGAGGTAACAGAGATCATATCTGCAGATAGCCTGGGTTTTGTCCCTTTGATTTCTCTGCAAACCTCATTCTGGCTTGCACACACTCCTCAGCTGAAAAAACAATGCATCAAATCTGTCTCTCTCTACTATCTGGCCTATGCCTTTGTCTGGTTTTCTTGTGCAGTGCTGAAGAAGGTCTTGAGTTTCCCAATTTTGATGGTAAGGACAGAGTGCTGGACATCAACGAGCGCAACTATAAGAAGGCTCTGAAGAGATATGACCTGCTGTGTTTGTTCTACCATGAACCTCTGTCAGCCAACAAGGGTGTGCAGAAACAGTTCCAGATGACAGAGCTGGTGCTGGAGGTAAGATTAACTAGGGACAACAGCTGCATATACCTACAGAATTAATGACATTCCCATCAGCCTCAGCTGTACTTGGTGCTTAGTGCTAATTAGTAACATGCTAGGCTTTGATACTTAAATCCTGCCAAGAAAATATCACATGACATGATATAACCTTAAGTGAGTGATAACATAAAAATGCTCACAACCCCTCTGGTTAGACTTGCAGCCTCACCACTGTGCTCATTTGGCTCTGACCGGTCATAACAACTCATCATATAGTCAGTGATCTCCCCGGCTGAAAAAAACAGACACTGATCAGTCTTCCCTTGTTTACTTGATCTGTAGACTATCTGCTTAACCATACAGTGACATGTGTAAGTTTCCCAGATGTCTCATAGTGTTTTACCTGAGCAGTCTCTTTAACTGTCAGAGATTTTAATCTCATTATTCACACTCCTCTGTGGTTGCCATGTATTCTGGGATTGTTTTTAGGTCATTCTGTTAATTATAGCTTATTCCCAAATCTCTTTACTATCTGGCTGTGAACTAGAAATAAGTAAATGTACTCTTGCATTTCTTCCCCTCTTATTTATGAGATAAAAGTATGAGAACAAGAGCATGTTACTCACTCCTTTTATTTGTTAGTATTCACCAGTTTTATTCGCTCTCTCCTACCTTTTCAGTTATGTTTTGTGTTCTTGTAATGTTTTTCGGCACTGTTTGAAAGCAAAAGCACAAAGTCAAACCAAATTTCTGTTTTTTCAGTGGTATTTCTAAATCGGTTTTCCTTTCCACAACCCACTGAAAAACAAGTGGTCCTCACTCACAGCTTTCCTCTAACAAGAAAACTCCACAGGGGGTCTCAGCACACACACCCGCACACGCTGGTAATGAGAATATGTATTGACAAAGACAGCAGCAGCTGTGAGTGCTGGCTCAAATACACAGTGTACGAGTACCAGCTAAATGAATAGTGCAGTGTCGTGGGTGTTAGTATGAGGTGCTTGATCTCAGGCCATTGTATCTGTACTGAAGAGTTAAGGTGATTCCACTTCGTCTTTTTGCTTGATGAAACCATGTCCAGTTGGGACCGCTTGTTATATGTCCATGAGATGCTGATTTTCAGATTGTTACATTCAAATAATTCATAGGCCAGAGGAGGTAACAAGAAAAATTAAGGAATAAAGAAATGTGAGAACCATTTTTGAGCTGCAAAACATTTTTTGTTCATAATTTCTATTAAACATCATGTTTATCTTGCAGCCCCTTCATGAGACACTGCATGCTTACATCACAGCTGGCACATCCAGTCATCAAACTGTCCAATGCACTGACAGGAAAAGCCTGATGCTGACTGATATTTGTCTCTTTTAACAACCAGCTCACGGCTCAGGTCCTGGAGTACAAAGACATTGGTTTTGGGATGGTGGACTCCCAGAAGGATGCCAAAGTAGCCAGAAAACTGGGTTTGAGTCTTGTCTTATCATTTCACAATATTTTACATGCTCAATCTATGTTCAAATTTAGCTTTTATCCTGGATCAATATTTTCTTTGATATTCCATTCTAAGATCTTTTGACTTATTTGTATGAATTTGCTTTCCATATATACACCACTTAACTAGTAATATACTTTAACTACTATGGCAATAATGACAGTTTTACTTTCTTCTAACTTAAATTAGCCTTTCAAAGTTATGGACAATATTTCTGCTGTTTACTTAGGTCTGGGGGAGGTGGGCAGCTTGTACATTTTCAAGGACGACCGTGTCATTGAATTTGATGGGGAGCTCTCAGCAGACACTCTGGTAGAATTCCTGTTGGATGTGAGTGGGGAACTGATTCTACTACTTTTTTATATATATATAATACAGTATATAATCTTGTCAACCATGGTGAGAAGAAATCCTCAAGCAATCAACAGCCAGCAGCCTAAAGCTACAATTATTATAAAGACTGGCTCAGTCTGAAGGTAACAAAATCTACATATCAGAATGAAAACAGGTTTTATCATAGTCAGTTCTCTTCATCTGTACTATGCTGCATTACTTAACTGAACAATATCTATGAGGTTATACAAACTAAAGATTCTGCTTCAAAGAAAATAAAACACACCAAAACTGTACAAAAGCTCAGTGTTCCTCATTTCCAGGTTCTTGTTTTTTACAATTCAATTTTTGTACAAATTAGACAAAATAAACATATTGACTTTAGAGGGTGCTTGTAGACAGGGGCAAATCTAGAACATTTGGACAGGGTGGCCGGGCTGGTACACAAACTCAGAAAGGAGAGGCACCTTTGAAATGTATTAAAGTTCTATGAAATAATAACCCATACATTAATATGGATGAAATTGTTTATTTTGTGTAAAACTGAGACATACATAATACTTTTCTTTAGCTAACTTTGGCTGCACTCCTTATTTACTCTTGGCTGGGCTGTGGCCAGTGCCACCCCTGGCCACCCCCTTGGCTCCGCCAATGCTAGTAGAGCCAGACTAGCTGTTTCCAGCAGTTTACAGTGTTTGTGCTAGGTTAGGCTAGCTGTAGCTTCATATTTAATAACTCTGGGTGGGGGTAGCATATTTGTTCCAAGTTTTCCTGTTCTGCAGTGTTTCCTGTCAGTGAAAATCACCTACCTGTATTCTACTGCCCACTAGGTACTGGAGGACCCAGTGGAAATGATCAGTAACGCCATGGAACTGCGAGCCTTCGAGAGGATGGAGGAAGACATTCGTCTCATCGGCTACTTCAAGGGAGAAGATTCATGTTAGTCTAAATTGTGTGATGGTTTTAAAATACATCTGTCCCCTAAAGTTGCCTCATATGTTCCCCAGACACTCATGGGATGTAGAGGCTAATGGAGCTACTTAACCATGTAGCCTAACTGGCTGCTAAAGGGAAACCTGATTCCAGGCTCTGGTACTCTCACTCAGTCCCACGAGAGTCTTTAAATAGCTTCTAGTTCTTTGTCTAATGGGTCAAACTGCAATTATAGTTTCTCTGAAGAAAAGGCAGAAAAATGAGACAGGAAAGATTCTATGTGGTACAATATGACAACGGCATGAAGTTTCATTATGGAGACTATTTCTGTCTAGAGACAGGTCGGTCTTTGGTCGTGACCTTGTTGGGAGCAGAATCAGGAGCTTGTTACAAGTGTATAGATTGTATTAAGGGAGACTTTGTTACTAGGGTGAAAGAAGTTGAACCATGATTGGACACTGAATGAAGAAAGTGAGCTTCTCTGCTTACCTTCCTGATCACATACTGTAGACTCGGCTAGGAATGTGGCAGGAATGTGAATGATCAGCTTCCACACTTCCACAGTTCACTTGACCTTCTGGCTGTTTCACTTTGGTTTCTGCCATTCTTTCTGGAGTTCCTTATTATCTTTCTCTCTCTGCCCCTCTCCCACTCAGACTACAAAGCTTTTCAAGAGGCCTCGGAGCGTTTTCAACCTTACGTCAGGTTTTTTGCTACATTTGATAAATCTGTAAGTCTCAATGTACAAACTCGTATTTGATTCTTGTCACTTATAAAGTATATTAACAAACAATTTGTAAGAATAGTTAGACAATTAGGAAACTGCTTATTTGTGTTCTTGCAGAGAGTTAGATGAGAAGATTGATACCACTCTCATGCATGTACACTAAATATGGAGCTAAAGCCAGTAGCTTAGCTTAACATAAAGACTGGTAAATCCATGTTTGAACATTACTGGGAAAGAGAAGTTTCTGCCTGCTTAATGAGTTTTGTCCACTCATTAAACAATTAGTTCTTTAATGATACTGATAGCCTATATAAGATTATGATATACATTATAGAACTTTTAATGATATCCAGGGTTGTTGTATGTTTTAGGTAGCCAAACATCTCTCCCTGAAAATGAACGAGGTGAATTTCTATGAGCCCTTCATGGAGGAGCCGGCGATCCTGCCTGGCAGACCTTTGTCAGAAATGGACATTGTCGAGTTTGTCAACCAACACAGAAGGTTGAGATGATGTATATGCTTTAAGGGTTATTTCACTGCTGTTAATTAAGGGGTTAGGGTGCAATTTAGTGAAAATGTGCTCTTTTTAGGGCAACGTTAAGGAAGCTGCGGGCAGAAAATATGTTTGAGACGTGGGTGAGTAGCTGAAGACTCCCCAGACAGTTTCATTAAAACCAATTTGGGTGCCATATCAGGACAATTGAGACAGTGTATTGTCAACTCTTCTTCCTCCTCTAGGAAGATGACATGGATGGCATACATATTGTTGCATTTGCTGAGGAAGAAGATCCAGGTTGGTGTCAGAGCTTTTTACCCTTTTGTTTTGCAGGTTTTTTTTTATTCTTTATGTTTGTTTAGCACCTGAAGGTGAGCTCTGTTCTACCATCCCCAGATGGCTACGAGTTCCTAGAGATCCTCAAAGATGTAGCCAGAGACAACACCAACAACCCAGAGCTCAGCATCGTCTGGATTGATCCTGATGACTTTCCTCTGGTTCTGCCTCATATCTATCTATCTATCTATCTATCTTTCTTTCTTTCACTGATGTACAGACACACCACAGATTGTTTATCCTTCATGGGTCACATAGCCTGGCTCCCAGGAACAACATCTGAGATCTCTGTCCAGAAGAGTGCAGTCCTAGGAACAGCATCCTCCATGGAGAAGGAGGTTGGAGATCAAGGCAGCAAGGGGAGCAGTTAGCCAGCTATCGGAATTGCAGAAAGGCGTGATGAAGAAAGGGGTACCTAAGTACAACTCACGGTCCATACCTGAAGCCTTAGAGACTGCCAAGTAAAGGCTGTCCCAGTGGCAGGGTAACAACATGAGAGCAGACCCACCAAGGCTGGAGACTAAACAGTTCTGTAAGAGCATATGGGAGAAGGAGGCATCACAAAACAACAGTGCTCAATGGCTGGTGGACCTAAGAGCAGACCACAGCAACCTCCCTGCACAAGACCCAGTAATCATCACAATGGCAGACATTCAAGATAGGGTCTCAAGTATGAAGAGCTGGACAGCACCAGGCCCTGACATGATCCATGCCTACTGGTTAAAGAAGCTAACTTCACTCCATGAGCGCCTGGCAGAACAAATGAACCAGCTACTAATGGATGGAACCCACCCTGAGTGGTTAACTGAAGGCCGGACAGTCCTGATCCTGAAGGACCCTAAGAAGGGAGCAGTATCATCCAACTACAACCCAATTACCTGCCTCTGCACAACATGGAAGCTCCTGTCCACATGGATTCTGGAATGCTTGGAACTGTACAACATCAACAGGACTCTAAGAGCCTTCATCAAGAACTCAATGGGAATGTGGAAAACAACCCTAGAGGCGAGCTTCAAGCCAATTGCACAAGTCAATATCAAGTGGGGTATCTAACAAGGAGATGTTCTGTCCCCGCTGCTGTTCTGCATAGGGCTGAACCTCCTCAGCTAGATCATCACCAGGACTGATTGCAGATACATGGATGACATCAAGCTGTATGCCAAGAGTAAACAAGACATCGACTCACTGATCCACACCACTAGGATATACAGCCAGGACATCGGAATGTCATTTGGACTGGATAAGTGTGGTCGAATGGTAACAAGGAGAGGGAAGGTAGTCAGGCAAGGCAAGGCAAGTCCTGAGAAGTCAGCTGAATGGAAAGAACAAAGTCCAGGTGATTAACACCTACGCCCTGCCGGTCATCAGGTACCCCGCTGTCATAATAAGCTGGCCAAAGGAGGAGTTAGATGCCACTGACATCAAGACAAGGAAGCTCCTTACAATGCACGGTGGGTTTCACCCCAAGTCCAGCATCCTGAGACTGTACACTAA